GGAGACATTGTAGGGCTGTGTGATCAAGGAATGGAATACTGATTATAAATTAAAAAAAAATACTTATACAATAGAGCAAAGGAAAGAATATTATTGAGTGTTCGAGACCATGTTGATGGGCCTTATTCCAAAATAGAAGCAAACATTTTACAACAGCTTCAGTAAACTAAATATATATCATTTTAATCGACGATCCTCTGCCATTTTCCTGGTAATACTATAATGTTATCAGTGCGAAACTTTGTAGTTTCTCGGCCAAGTGATTTACGGTATATATATATATATATATATATATATATATATATATATATATATATATATATATAGAGAGAGAGAGAGAGAGAGAGAGAAAGATTTCACTTATAGTCGAGATGCTCTATCTTAATAAGATTAAAACGATTTTAACGATTTCTCAGCGCTGACCAGACGAATACTGTTTTAGACAGCCGTCTTGTCAGAAAAACTTACATTACTCCATAAATCAACACTAGGTTTAAATAAAAATGTATTACTAACCTACGTACTATTTCGGCCAATTTGGCTTGAGAATTAAATAGAAAGATAACAAAAGTAAAATAGATAGCGGAGAAACGGTCGATACACACAAAGATAATCCTTCACTGTATAATAAAGAGTGGGAATTAAAATATTAAAGCCTAAAAAAATTCCAAAAGGTCAATATCAAAAACATACCAGTCGATTCAAAGGAGGAACCGGCTAAAAACTCTAAGGATGAATCACCGAAAAAACACGAACGGGACTCACAAAGTGAGCCATCAACTCCTTCATAAAACAATAGAATATGACCTGCTATGTAAAATAAAGTAAAACGTGCTCCTTATGAATATATGTAACGTTAGTTTGGTCCTAAAATGGCCCTTAGAAAAATAGCTTACAAACAGCGGTTTAGTCCAGTGGCCATTTATTTTATACTGCGTTTACAGTAGAGTATGTATCTATAAATTTGTAAATAAACTAACAAGGAGCTGTAAAATTGAAAGAGCACCTAGAATTTGTAGGTGTCCAAAAGGAACTATCGCCTATGGAAGACAATATAAAAGTAATACTAAGTAAGCTTTTGGGATTTTTAGGATTCATAGCTTTCTAAATTTTCTATCCATATAAGTTAAGAAGATCAGTAAGAAAACAAGCAATAAAAGAGACCGACAAGAGCCTTCTATAGGCCGCTGTGACTTTTCCTTAACAAAATCAGAGTTTGTAGCTGTCATAAAATCGACTCGGCTTGAACAATTGTTATAGTACCATGTAGTACAGTATGATGAAGCATTACCTAGACCTAATTAATGTTAGCGCAAAATTGATGATTTTATAATATATTGATGTGAAATATATATCTTTTACGATATCTAGACGCACCCTAGGATCTTTACACTAACAATCACACGTATCATCCCATGCGGCGAATACGTATAGTGTACAAAACTTTACAAATTAACCTGTTTCTGTCAACAACGAACGGAGCTTGTCAATTTAAGTTGCCAATAACGTGCTAACTGAGCTAGTGAGTGTCTACACCATCAGTTTCCATATAATTAACGGAAGTTAAAAAGTAAAAACTTATTAACGATAAATAATAACGAGTATTACAATAAGGAAATTGAGAAAAACAATTAAACAGTACCGTTTCCTGAAAATAACTGATTCTCAATTTAACGATTGAGGATCCAACACTAAAACGTTAAACAACTAGAAACAGGGTCAACATCGTCTTCGGCTGGATTAAATGGATTAAACCTTAACATATGCGTATAATTAAAAACATAGTTTGTATATAAAAAGTATCTCAAAAAACTCGATGCATAGAGTACAATTTGGCTAATTATAGTTACACAATACTATCTTCGATATAATTTAATTATATAATTTAAGCTAGTACAGTAAAATACCGCTGATAACGGTGGACTCTTGATGATTTGCCGACGTAAACTTTATCTTTAAAATATTCCCACAGAAAAAATAATTTGCGTCAAGTATTAGGAATGGGTAGAGTGATCTATGCTTAAGGAAAAAAAAATGTCTGTTTAAGAAATTTTCCTTAATATGTGTTCTCGTATTGCGGTGACAGTGTGCAAGTGTTCCGTCCTCTCAAGACAGATTCTTGTAATAAATATAAGCGATTGGCACCAAAGTCACTGAATTGTTAGAAAACATTGATAAAGTTAACATATACTACATCGTAACGGTATCCTGCGTGAATTTATAGCTATGCAGTAAGTCGATTTCATTTTATTCTCTTTTTTTCTCTCATTTATTCGTTATTACTGCGCGGAGGATGAGGCCATACGCCGGAAAAAAGCTGCACCAAGATATACGCGTTCCTGCTAAATTGAGATATGTTAACATCTCGAAAATGGTTCCGTTACTTCTGAAAATTTCAGTGTAGAATATGCTCTTCGTAGTCAACCAATCACAAAAAAAATCGACGCGTGGCTAGCGATAATATTGCCATCGAACTGAATACGTACCGTCAAGCAGTGCTGAACCATCTGAGAAGAGCCGGCTATAAAAAAAAAGAAAAAGCTCGATATTTGGGTCCGACCCGTATTGACGCAAAAGAATTTCTATCGTACTTTTATCTGTGTAACTTCACAAAAACACTAAAATCAAACCAATCACTAAGGCGGTTAATGACGGTTGATGAAGTAGACCATACGCCACATAAGACAATGATGTGTAAATAAGAAAATATAAAAAGAAATGAACTCGTGACAAAGCCAAGGCAAGTTCCCGATTGGATGGGAACGGAGTTGTGTACTGAGTTGCTGTTACCTGGCGATTCGGACCTTTGCTGTCAAAAATTAATAAGACCGCAACAGCCAGTGTAAAAAATTGACCGGAACTAGTGAACAGAAAAGGCGTCTACAGATCAAGCTTTAGAAAGCAACAAAAATTAAGGGAATTCGAGCAGGGAATTTAAATGTACGCGCCGTATAGCTCGGATCTTATGTCGTCAGACTATCATCATCTGTTTCGGTCTCCGCAGAATTCTCTTAATGGTGTTAGCTTATTTTCAACAGCGGAACATAAGAATCACCTAACAGAGTTTTTTTCTTCTAAGAACTAAACAAGTTTCACGCTGATGGGACCATGGTGTTACCAGAAAAACACCAAAATGTTGCTGATCACAATGGCGCATATTTGGTCTAGTAATATTATTTTAATATAAGACAACATTTGTATCAATTTTAGCCTAAAGACGGTCAATAATTTTTCTAGAACACAGCATATAAAGTTTAGGAAGGGAATACGGAGACAAAATAAAATCACATTTGTTTTTCTAATATAATATGATAGTCATGAAGCTTTATTGGCCTCATTGTATGGTCTATTAGAACAGTTTACTAGACCAACTTTACGTGTTGTTAGTATACGGAAAATCCTGATCCTAAAAAACTTCCAAAGTTTATGTAACATTTGTGTGCTAGACATGTCTTTTCTTGGACCTAAGAGCTTTGGTTACTCTCCTACTACTACTAAGTTCGAGGAGAAAACAACGGTAATGTCGTTCATTAGCTAATTTTTGGTATAACTTGTAATAATATGTGCGTATAGTCTATAATGATAAAAAAACACGAGAAAAGCCCAAAGTAATTTCATATACATATTTTTATGCATATACAAGTACTGAATGAAGATTGTAGAAACACCAGTTGACCGCGCAATGTTGGTCAATACTGAACCATTACTTTTAGTTATGAGAGACGAACTAGGTACAGTCGCTAACCTTTGAGCAAAGGCTGGTCCAAATTTAAAATCTATTTCTAACCATTCTGCCTTAATCTCATATATATATATATATATATATATACATTATTATAGAATTTAGGGTCATTCTATGCATTCCTATATAATGTGAGCGGAACAAAATTCCTTGGGGCTATTTAGTAGTTTAGGTACGAAGAAGTCTCAAAAAATCTGTCAAACTCTTAGGCTCTAACTGGGTCATTCATTTAGCCATTCAGCTTCTCTTATGTAAAACGGCAGTCAACTTATGTAGCGAAAACCTTCAGATATTAGACAATGAATGGCTTTCCGCGTCATTTCGATGAATTTTCGAGTTTCTTTAATTAAAGCAGTGTTTGAAAGCATTTCCCTGTTGTGAAAGCATTTCCCCAATTTTTTAGAAGAGCGTGAAAATTGGCAATGACGTAAAACGCCCGATTTTTGACAGTAAGGGAAGCTTAGTGGTCTTAGTAGGAGGTTCGTTTACCTCGGAAGGCTGGGATAATATCTAATCCTTCCAAAAAAAATGCACTGTTTTTCCCCTCTACGAGCTTGTTGTTTTTTATAGCAAGAACTGGCTTCCGTTTCGGACCAGGAATGGCGGAAAAACGCGTAAGTGCTACAACAAATACCCCACCAAAATTTGTATTCGATACTGTATATATATACAGGGTGCCCCAAAAAAATGTACATACTGTAATTAAAAAAAGAAAAAATTATTGGGTAGTGCAGTGAATGATGCCGATTTTTAAACTGACTACAGAAATTTGTTTTACCACGCATTTCAGGAGACTTTGGCGGATTTTATAGTTAACAGAAAGGAGCACCTACACTCTAATGTAAGAATGTATCGATGAGAATCTCTTAAACAGATGGGCTAGACAAAGAGGTCCCATAAAATGTCCAGCCCGTTTTCCAGACTTGATGCCAGTGGACTCCTTGTTGAAGACGTACAATAAAAATAAGGAAGGAGTCAGAAACCGACGACGCTGTAAAATCTAGAAGTTGCAATTGAATCTTTAGCTAAATAGCCGACCGCTATCAGCAGAACGAAAATAAGTTTGAATATTAGAGGCGGCAAGATATTGTTTTGTAATTCAAATGTAAATTATACGTAGATCAAAACTGAGGTTATAGTAATTTAAACTGTAAACTATATTTTGAAAATCATATATATAATATTCGAAAAGCCAGGTCGAAACTTAACTCCAATTTAATGTGTTTATTAGTCTATTGGTGCCATCAGCTTTGTCACTTTTTTCTGCGGAAAATATGGCCTCTAGGAAAGATGAACCGACTAAAGTGGCAGCCCCTGTTACTTTATTAGGCTATGATTACAGATTGCGTTTGCCAAATCTGCCAAGCTGACGGAGGCCTAGCTTCAAATTTTGGCGGGTCTCGAGACAATGTACATTTCCCACAAAATTGTAGCTCTAAAATTAGCAACGGTACGAAGCTTTGATCATATGGAGTCGACGAGTTAATGGCGGAATAAGCCTATTTTTTTAGTAAATTTAGCATATCGTAATACCAATTAGTCTCCAAATATGCTCTTTAGTAAAAAAAAGAAGCATGGCAGGTCGAAGTTGTAGTGATTTCCATGAAACCGCCGCTAAGTTTTACAGCTTCCTGTTTCCTATTCAAAAGTATATATTAGCGTTTTGTTCATGTAAGGTTAACTCCTCACCTCAACTTCTTGTACATTTAATCACACTGTATTTGAACCGTGAGGTATTACTACAGGGAGTCACTTGGGAAGAGGCTTACGGCACAATTGGGTCTGCTTTAGTTCAACGCCGAAGTCCGCGAAAGCCAAGCTTGTATTGAGTATCTTGAAATGCCAGCCTTGACGTGAAGAACGGTCTGCGGGTCCTATTTGATTTATTTGAGAGTCACGAACCTATAAAACGGTACGATAACAATACGCCATGTAACCACTTGCTTGCGCTGAAGACAGAACCAATGATGGTCGCATGTTTATGGAAACGTATTCAAAGAGGTTGGTTCACATTGGTTATCAAGATTATGCTGCTTTTTGTATATGCGTATGGCCTTTTGAAGTTTCTTGTTACGACATGGCGACTATCCGCAATGTTAGTTAATAAGCGATTCACTAACTGTCGACGCCCAGGCGTGACAAGGTAACTATCTATTGAATTCAGTGGAATCAAATAAAATCAACTAAATTCCAAAGTACTGATATCCTAACATAAGTAACGGCCCTTCTTATCCAAAGCTTTTAGCCAAGTTTACAACTACTCATTTCTCACTTGACCGGAGCAAGATGTTCTCTTTGCTCGACTTACGCTTACTGCACCCCCTTTAATCGGTAGCGCTGATCACGCTTGGACTATTTTAACGGTAGTCGGCTAGTGCCAGAATGGGAACGAGTTGAGGACGTCGCAGTATCATACGATATCCGAGTATTTTTTCAGTCAGCTGGCCAACCAGAGAACCAGGAAGCCAGACATCCAGCAATAGCGACAGTCGTGGCGATATTATCTCACCCAGGCGATCCATCGGCAGTCCCTGACCTACTAAGCAACTACCAGCGAACAGAAATGGCCGACGTAGGCGACGGCAAAAAAAGCGGCCCTTTCTCAAAGAAAAGGAGTAGGATATGTCTAAACTTAGGAGACTGAGACGAGAGTGCAGAAATCGAAAGCCGGTGCCTCTGTTCGTCAAGAGCTTCTCTCATTTCCCCCTTTAGCCCCTGCGTCCGGACCTTTCCTTCCTAAAGCCTACTTGCGGGTGGACTTAAACGCAGCCAACGAGACGTGAGGCCAGGCACCACTTAGTCAGCCGGCTTCATTGGTAGTGGTAGCCGTCTCACTTTTGACTCATAGTCAGAAAGGCTATGACGGCAGCGTGGACTGCCTGTCTACGGGTGACCAATGCCGATATTAAATTCATTACTTGTTCTGGCCCTTTGCCGCGCCAAGCTTCCTGGTCCATGCTGAGGAAGCAGTGACGGCGGTGGCAGTTCCGGACTCAGCGGAGGTGCTGACGGCGAAAGCGACTCGGCTCACAGCCTCGCCCACAATGGCCAAAGAATCATCCACAAAAAGAGAGATGAATGAAAATTCTTACGGCCTCGTCCACGGCCCCTCAAAACCCAGCTTGCAAGCCCCTTGGTGGGTCGCTTCAGAACTGCCGCTATGTTCTTCTCTTTTTGTTCGCACAAGCCGGTTACTACCACACCCGCTTAAATGGCCACCCTTACCGCTAGTCCCACCGTCGACGATAGTAAGCGTACGACTCATAAAGAGGAACTTTTTTGCTAGCTGCCGTTCCACCGCTATCATAGCGACTGACACTATTCGACCATTGGCTTCGTTCCCTTGACTGTTGCTCATTTGGCCGGCTTGGACTTTTTCAGTGCGCGATCATGGCCGCTCGGCGACCAAAATCCCTCAGCCCTCAGAGCAAGGGCAGCTCAATGTAGCTCTGCCGACTTTGTTCTACTCTCTCTCCGGCTATCCCCGGTACGGGCAGCACCATGTATATATTCGCATGCCGTTTGCTGGGCTGCTGTTCCTGTTGGCCACCCACTTGGACCCTTATTTCTTTGCTCCTTCTTTGCCATCCAATGCATCTCTTCCCGACTCTCTTTAGAAGAAGAAGACGAAAAAGACTGAAGGAATGAAGAAAAGCCACGCTACCATCAGCAATAACGCCTTCTACCTTCCTGTTCCAAGCGCGGCGTCTCGCCTGTTTAGGACAACGACCACTAGCGACGAAGACAACAACGACGATCGTGTCTGCTGCTATACTGTCTTACTGCCTGGCTGCCACTCTGTAGCTTGCCCAAGCCATTACATAGCGCTCGCGTTGGCGGTGGCAGCGGCAGCAGCAGCTGCTGATGCTGTAGAAAAACTTTATTAGAACTATGACGCGAGGCGACTTCTCTTGTAAGAAAGCGAAACTCCGTCATGCCGGATCCCGCACCCATCTCACCCTATAGCAACCCCAAAACAGCCCCCACTAAGCTCCTTCTTTCCCATCAACTTCTTTCACTAATGTTTTCACGCAACCCACAGCGTTTGCAGCACTCTCTATAGGCTTACCAACGTTACACACGACAACCCACACTATTTCGACGGGTATCACATGTCTCCTGAGCCACCGACCTCTTCCGGCCTGGCCTTTAAATATACGTAGGCCTGTTCCTGTTAAAAGACATAGCAAGCAAGTCACCGATACGGCCTCGTATATAACTGTAACCATGTGACCTTCAGACAAATACAAACTAGTGGAAATGACCTTTGTACAAGCTGCTGGATCGGCCCATGCGATGGGTGGGATACGTACTGTTGCTGACCTTCAGTTTCGTCAGTACTCCTAGGGTCACTAGCTGTTCCTGGACTAGCCGTGAAGCAGCGTGTTGTTGTATAACAGTTCATGCTCTGCATCGGTTCCTATAAAGCGAGCTTTCATCGTCCTGCCGCGCCCAGCTCGGCCGACTCTCTTTCCTAACGCGTTTGCTATAGAAGTAGTGCGAGCGGCAGCTACAAGTCCAGGGTAACATTGCATATAAAAATGCATGCAAGAATTTCCTGAGGCATCGGAAAGGTTTTTGAAACGTTAAAAATCGCTCGTTCTCTCCGTTTTTGGAATCGTCCGAACGTCCACGAACGGTCGGTCAAAATCTTTTTGGATGCATCCACGGCAAGAAGCGCATGACATAGTGAGAGATTGGAGGGCGCTGGGGCACGCTCGGCCTCCAATAGCCTGGCTGCGCCCGTTTCACAGGCTCCTGCAGCATTTTTTCTCGCTTTTTTTTTTCTCAGTCACGGGTATCACCGTCACCGTCTCTAATCGCCACTGCCCCTGGGCGCTGCCTTAACATCAAATAATACGATCGAGTAGCGAATGTTTCGGTGGGAAGACTCAATATGAGTAACCGTCCATTCCATCGTGTGAGGCTGAGTTTCGAGCCACACTCAATCATTTCAATTCTCCATTTCAATGAACACTTATACACATTGACATATACATATGCATGTACATTTATGGTGATTTCAGCGCGCGGCACTTTATGGCAGCGTATAGTTAAGA